AGAGTTAAAGAACATGATTTTTAAAACAAGAGGCTGTTTGGAGACACATTCTCCCTAGTGCATGTTCTGAGACAGACTTGCACGGCAGGAAATTGTGACCCTCTTGTTCACACACATTCAAAAGCAACAACTTAAGTTGGCTAAATTCCTTGTACTCAAGCCAGAAAATTTTACCTGCTCGCCCAGTACTCTTGGGGGCTTCGTTATACCCAGACCGTATCACACGGGACCTAAATAGCCATTAGGTTATACTCAGATCTTCCCAGCGTCTAGCACCTGGGCTTGTATTCGACCACTGTATAAGGTAAAACAGCCTTACATGCTCTAACAGATGAGAATGCTGGGGAGTTTGGATTGGGAACAAATACAAATCAGCATTAATCATAGCAGAAGGATATAGGTAAAAATCCTTTATGCCAATCATACATTTAGTATAAACAGATAAAGCACGTTAATTTACTAGATAGAAAAATGTATCCCTGTGACTTTGAATGGCACTTGGTCAACAGTTCACCGTGTTGCCAGGCAGCCCTGTGAGCTGCTGGTGTATGGTTGTTTTCCGACGACTCCATGCTGTGACGTAAGTAACCTGCATGGAAAGGGTGTGCAGACCCCACCCAGACTTTGGGTGAGCGAGTCAGAGCAGGTCACCCCAAGGGAAGCTTACCTGTTTGCCCAGTCCGTCACCTGCTACCCACAGCTGATGTGTTCAGAGATAGAGACGGCCTTCCCGTGCCTGCTTTACAGTGTCTAATGCTGATAGAAACAGAAGCCTTTTTGTTAAAGGGAAAAATTCAATAATGAGTTCTAGAATAATGTTCCCCATCCACTGTCAAATCCCATTGTGTTTTAAGCACTCAATCTCAGAACTACTGCATCAAATTAGACAGAAGGGGCTGTAATTTACCTTATATTGAGTTGATCACATTAACTCGTCAAACTGCAAAGATAATCTAAAATGTAGACAACATCTGATAACTAAAAATACTCTAAGTGGTGAGTACAATTTATTTAGGTACCAAACAGGTAATCGGGATTTCTATGCAATGTTTTCATTTATATTTTTATCAATATATTATATATGATATATGATATACATAAATATCACCTGAATCTCATGAAATGCTATCTATTTTTGCTTTTACATCATTGAAGCATCTAAGAATCCCTTTCCTCTTATATTCATTCTTATACTTGGAATGACAAATCTCTCAGTACAACATCTGCATTTCTCTTTTAGTGTTGTTTTACAACCATCTCCCATAAATAAACTTTGTCATTGAGCTCTAGCTGACCATTTCACCCAGAAATGGACAGGTTTTCTAAGAACGTTGTGTCTGCCTTCTAAAGACGCAACAGTGTAAATCGTGAGAAGGTGGCCAACATCCATCACAGTCTAGGAGTCCCCTCTAGTCATCCCATCCTTCTCTTTCAACAAGATTCTGCGAGATCGCCATGAGATGCACCCCTCTAGTTTGCTTTATCTTGTCCCCAGCATGTTTGTTCTGTGCCACTCACTGCTTTCTGTACGGCATTGCACACAGATTCATTTTGACCTCAAGGAGCTTAATATCCACTCCCTCCCCGGCCCCACAAAATGGGGAGAGAGCTGTCGACTGGATGCTTTCTCTGCTAAAACATTTACTGGTAGGCCTGTGCACTGTGCTTTCCATCCTGGAACAGTAACCTGCGTGAGTAAAACAGCAAGGCAGCTAACATTCCCTACACTGCTCCAGAGTGGTGTGGCACGCTAAGCCATGAATGGGTTTTAACCCATTGCACATACTTAGGACATAGTGCCAGCTCAGTTCAGCAAAGCTTTTGATGGAGGCACATAGCAGGCACATGGAATAATGATGCCAACATGAAGCACAGTGCAGGGAGCCAAGTGTCTACTCATGGACCAGCTCAGTGCCTGAAGTTACTCACCCAATCTCAGCCAAACCTGGGGAGGCGGGGAGGGGCTAAAACAGCAGAGGGATTTCTTTTTTCCCCCAGTACTTAGTCCATGCTGAAGCTGAACAGCAGCAGCATATCTGCAGGAGGGACGGATGGTGCTGAGCAGGGCCTGGGCAGGGGAATTTTCTAGAGTCTCCCTGCAAGCCAACTCAGGGCTCCGTGCCATGGTCTGAGTGCCATACCCATCCTGTTCCAGCATGTTCATGCTCTGGCCTGGTATGCCAAGTTTTAATGTTGCAAATTTTAGGACAGAAACCAGCTTGAGACAAATTGGCTATTCAAGTAGAGAAGCTGAACACTGTGCAACAAAAAAGAAAAGCATCTCTAGACTTAAAAAAAAAATCTGAGGTTGGAGAAGGGGAGCAGTGAGAGCAGGAGAAATGCAGAAGTGTTGCAAAGAGCCAAGACACACAGCTCAGGCAGCAAACATCTCCACCCAGGACACCCAGCCGACCGCCAGACACAGCGCAGAGGCAGGCGCCAGAAGGCTGCCAGTTGCAGCATTTGAACTGCGCACATCAAGCTGAGCCCCCGAACTCACCCCTGGGAGGTGTTCACACCCTGGGGGGAGACAGAACTCACCCCTGGGAGGTGTTCACACCCCTGGGGAGAGACAGAACTCCCATGTGTTTGCACCTTGTGAGGACAACACACTGGCTCCAGGTGCTGTCACATTCTCTCACACACGCACTGTCAGTGACATTAAGAACGTGTTTTAAAGAACAGCAGGTTTTGCCCAAGTGTCTCTGCAACATTAGATTTAGTCTGAAGAGAGCAAGAGCCATCCCTCTTTGTAGACCCAGACTGCCCAACAACAAAAGGGAAGTTCAGAAAACACACGACTCCCTTCATCATGGAAGCACAGAGCTGTCTGGGCTAGACTTAGATACACTGTCTTTTAGGAGTGTGGCGATATTTTAGAAATTTCTGAGGTTGCCACCGAGAAGAGCAAATGAGAGTGACCACTCTAATATGTGTGTGGGCGGCGCGGGGGGGACAGGGAACCTCCTTTATGCATTGCTACACTTTGGGTCACACACCGGGTCACATGGTCTGTCGAGATGGTCTCCCTCATTAGAGATGGCTTTCTAGCTTACAGACGGAATGAAATGAGGACGTATGATAGAATACTTTGTACAACATGAGACATATTTCCAACTTTCCAATGGTCTTAATCCATTGTCACATTTGAGCTGAAAAAAAGTCATTGACACACATTCCAGAATGTGAACCAGAATCCCATGTGAGTGAATTTTTGCTGACCGTGTACATTTTGGGGGGAGATGTCCCATCTTCCTAGGTGGGCATCTATCTCACTGTGGTCTTCCTGTACTCATTTCCCCGGTCCCCTCTCCTCACGTGTGGCCTGCGCCTGACCCAGGCTATTTATGGCTACCTTAGAGCTCACAGGATAAAGGGCCAGAAATAGAGAGACAGGGCCAGCAGGGTTGAGAGCACCAGGGTCATGCATGGGATCTCCAGGGTTACGGAGAATAAAGGTCGAGGAGCTGGCCAGCAGGCAGTCACAGGAAATGGGAGGAAGCAGGTTGGGAGGACCGTGGAAGCTGCACGTCAAGGCATACAGACCAGAGGCTCAGGTTCCTGCCAGAGGTTGTCCCCTAGGAAAACAGTGTTGGACTTCTTGTTTTTTGTGTTAATCCGGGTTCTGTGGCAAGAGAAAAGGTCCCGAATGACTTGCAATACAAGGAGGATGAGTGGGGAAGGCAGGCAGGAGGAAGGGTAGCGTGGGAATATCGCTCTACTCCTAAATCTTTATTGTGAAATTTGTTCATTTTATACAAATGCAATATAAAAAATAACATCAAAATAAATGTTTAAAAATTAAAACAAGGAAAGACCTTACTGAACTAGTCAATTATAAATTCATTCTCTCATGCGAATCATCCTTTTTTGGATTTCAGTTGAATCTTGATGACTCTGGAGCTTGGTAAACGTTACTGGTTTCGTGCCTTTTGGGGATACATTTTAGCAGGATTAACATTTTAAGCAGTTAAGATCGGTACTTGGAGTGCGCAAGTCTGAGTCCTGGGTGCCAGGGCGTTCCTGCCACCCACAGAGCAGACCCTTCCAGGCACCTGGCCAGCAGCTGGCCAGTGGACCAGGGAACCCAACATCTCTCCCTCACTTGCTCTGTCTTGTGTGTTTCTCTGCCTTTCAAAATAGAATCAAAGTTTAAAAAAAAAAAAAAACTAATCCCAAAAAGATACTTTTTAGAAGATAAACACTTGAGTATTAATCCTACAAACCAGAATAATATATAGATTTTATTTTTTCATGTATTTATCGACAGAAGTAGAGATGCATTGCTTTATCCACAGCTCACCCCTCAGACCTCAGACAGACAGAACTGGGCAGGGCCGAGCCAGGAGCCTGGGACTCATCGCAGGTCTCCCACGTGGTGGCTGGGACGCAACCGCGGGGTGCATCACCTTGGCCCCCTGCTCCTAGTCCTCCTCCTCTTGAAGAGGATTTGGCTTTCTCTTCAGCTTTTGAAAACTGTAACTTTCACTGTGATTTCCATTATGACTCATTCTAATGGATTGAATAAACTCACACTTAATTCTGAAACCTTTACCATTAAGTTTTTATGGAATAAAATACCCAGCTGTAAGTTTTATTCTAATATTCCTGAACTGGGCAATCAAGTCCATATACCGAACTCTAAGCATGGGGCTGAGGAGCTAATGGTCAGGCCTCAGAAGGCCAGCCCTTTTCATTCTGTTCGCTTTCATGCAAAAACTGCCTAATTAGACAACTCCGCTGAATGAAATAGCTAATTGGTGGGATGAAATCAGTATTGTTCCGTGCTAAATGGCTGAAAAGGTTGTTCAAGGAGACTTGTAACTATTTACCTGGTGGCAAAATCAAGGTTAAAGAACAAGCACAGTCCTCTGCTCAGAAATACAGATAATCTGGCGGATGTTGGGTTTTGTAAACACAGTTTTTGGTCTCTTGAGTTCTAGGCATGATTCACAACGGGCCCAAGCATTGTGATTAATTTAGACTCTTGTCTTTCCCAGGTGGATCTTCTTGTCCCTACCAAGGTGACTGGCATTATTACACAAGGGGCTAAGGATTTTGGCCACGTACAATTTGTGGGTTCCTACAAGCTAGCTTACAGCAACGACGGCGAGCACTGGACCGTGTACCAGGATGAGAAGCAAAGAAGGGACAAGGTAAGCTATTCCTGTGCGCCGCGGTGTTCAGAAGAACGGAACCAAATTCCATTCAAGTCAGAACAATCTGCTTGTCAATCTTGCTGCACATACTGAACGCATACGTAAAATGAGAGACCTAAGGGGTAAAACGCTGCTAGGAGATTTTTCTTTCCTGCAAAATCTTAAGAATTGTGTGGTACCCATATTTATATTATTTTTCTAAAAGTTCTGCACCGATCCTGTGATAACAGCTAGTCTGGGTTTCCATGGAAGCCATTTTGACATCTCCGAATGCATCCATTTAACATCTCAAGACACACACGTTTCCGACCGTAACCTCCTGGAAGGCATTACAGTGTCATAGTTGAACGGGGAGCACTTAATGCTGTCCTAGACAAACATGAAACAGTGTCTTGCTTGATGATCCAAGACAAATTAAAAAATATTGAGTATTTTGTAAAACTGCCTTCAGATTAATTTTCTGAGATATTGACAAATGTCTGGTATAATTTATCAAAAATAGCTATTTCAGCTCATCTCTTTTCTGTTTTACGGTAGACAATCTAATGTATAGATTGTTTCCTAATAGAAGTTTCTTAAACTTCAGATACAACCATGAAATTAATTTCCAGACAGGTATTTTCTGTTGTAGTAGGGTAATATTTCCTGAAATATGTATTTGCGAAGTGCAATCCTATACTGGTTGTTTTAGAAAAGAACTACAGAGGATTAGTATGATTAAGCCACTGAAGTATTGAAGTACCTCTTTGTCTCTCGTTAAGTAAAATGTGAGATTGAATGATGTTTGTGAAATTAAACTTCTTAACTGATTAGAGACCTTGTATTTTGATGCATCCAATTTTCTCCTTCAGAAACATTAGTTTTGTCTGAAGTTGCTTGGCAGTAATTGTTCAGATTTTTTATCCTTACTGATTTCCTATCTACCTGAACTGTAAGTGTGAGAGGAATGTGGAAATCTTCACCTGTGATTATAGATGGTTTCTCCTTGCTGTTTTACCACTATGTGTTTCGTATATTTTGAAGCTCTCAAAAATGTGCATAAGCAACTAGTGTCTTAATGTATTTTTGATCAAGTAATGCATCGCTAGAAAATGAATTTCTGCATTCCTGGTAAGATTTTTTTGCTCTAGAATCTACCTCAACAAAGGTGCTTCAGCTTTCTCCTCATTAACAGTCCCTTGGAATATGAGTTTTTCCATGCATTTACTTTTCTTTCTAAGATGTATTTAAGATGCATTCCTTCGATGTCGTGTACAGTCTGCTTTTTCACTGGGATGCCCAAGCTGTCTCAGATGTGAGCGCTGACGTACCTGCCATTAGCTGGCTCTGCTGCCTCCTGTGTGTCACGTCTGTTTATCCTGGATCCTGCTTTCCTCTGGGCTGAGCCCTCGATGAGCACATTCGGTCACTTTGGTTGCTTGATTAGCAACCACACATTGTGAGGCGAACGTGAGAACCACTACACTACGGAAACGAGCTAGCAACCACACATTAACTCAGTGATCGTGCTAAGATTTGCGGTACACGCTTTAAACTTAGGAAATCTCCCTTCAGATAAATGTGGAGCCCCAGCAAGCTGCCTCTGTAAGCACAGGTTATAAGAAACGGTGGGTATGAAGGCAGGTACCTAGAAGCCATACCTAGTCAACATGTGACTTGGACTTTCCCCGCATAGATGTATCTGTGAAGGATGAGACAGACTCCCACCGCAGGAGTGAGAAAACGGCGAGACAGAGCTGATGTTGCTGACTGAAAAGGAAGGCACAAGCACGGGGAGACAGGCTCATCTATTGAAAAATTAAATCATTTTGATATTACGAACATCCTCAACTCTGCAGATTTAACAGGCAGTCATAAAATTAAGTGTAGTCAGTTTACTGATCATGCCGTAGATCGTGTAGTACAACCAAGATCTAGGATACAGCTGCTCTTCCCAGTTAGAGGAGACACGTAAGTGCACTGAAGAACAAAATGCAGCAATTACTATTATAATAATTCTTCTGTACTTTGGAGAAGAAAATGCCACAGGGCACTGCCCCTCTCCATTGCTGCCGTCAAGGGAATTTAACCAAATCAAGGGAGAAGCGCGTTGCCTAAGTTCTTGAAGCCCCTGGAAATACAGGCACTATAGGAAGATATATGCTTTGATACATAAAAAGTACTTAGGGCGCTCTGTTGCTATTACTTATTACTGCTAGATCCTCCACCTGTAATTTCACTTAACTTTAATAGATGTGCTCTAGTTTTTAGCAGGAGCCAGCACAACTTAGCAATGACCTATTCTGAATGTGAATGAGACATTTGCTACTGACTCCTGACATGGTTACTGTCTCGTTGGCCATGGTTACCTTCCATGGAAAGAAAAAAGGCTTCAATATTTGAAAGAGAAAACCCAACTACTAGCTTTAACCAAATAAATACAATAATTGATTGTTTCGTGACAAAACAAGGTCCTGTGAAGTGTCTTAGGGACCCACATTTCAAATGGAAATCTTTATAAGCAAAGATTTCTAATTCATTTTTAAGCCTTCTGTTTCTATTGGATGTGTGATCTAATAGATTTAGGGGGGGAAGGTTATGATTCTGAAGTCTGTTATACCACTAGACACAAGATGACTTCAGAAAAACATTCTTGAAATAACTCCAGTATTCCAGGATTTCTACAAATTGTAGGAATGAGACTGAAAACGTATGAACATCCTCTCTGTTCTTCAGCTGTCAGAATGAACTGTCTCAGCAGAGAAGGACGCACGCAAAAGCATCTTGAGTCCTGTGAGTTTATGTATACAGACACCAGGACTCAGTGAAGAACACACACAGGTGCCGTCAGCTCTCCCGAGATGCCAGTCTCCACCCACCCTTTCTCAGCATTCAAGGAGTGTAGATTCCTTCGGTAACTTGGCTGGTCTAGCACCATTCTGCAGCCAGTCCCCTGTGCTGGACCCAACCAGTGAGTCTCCCAGCAGAGGCTTTGCATTCTTTCTATTTTTCTTTTTATGTTTTTTTTCTAGTCATTTCCTATATATTAATGCTTAACTTTTACATTTCTCTATAAATGCTTTGGGAAAATTTTTATTTGAAAGTCCGTTATTTCTTCACTGTTAGGAAAGTGACATTTGTTTTATATTCTTAGTACATTTAGCAGGAAAACTGCAAAACTTACAGGCCAGGTTCAGTATTTAACTTTGCAAGTTATAAGCCAAAGTAAAACAAGAGTAAATCCCAGAAAGAGTGTTTCTGTGGAAAATCTAGAGATGAAAATGGGCCCCAATGCCATGGTATTTGAATAAAGCTGAGTTTGTACCATGGGACTTTTCTTCCTGGAGAAACAGAGAAATAATTTTCAATTTCATCACCCTCCCTGAATTGAACAAGTGGGTTTTTCTCTTAAAGAATAAATTACAAACATTGAAATATTTTTATGAAAGAAAAAGCCAGTACCCTGTTTCTGATTAGACTTTGCTGGTCCTTAAATATGAAAGATGTTTCTGCACTGAGAGCTATACCCCACTGTTCCCTGAACTCCGGCCTGGAGCTCTGGGAGGCTGTGGGATGCTGTGCTCGTGGGAGGCGGGCACAGACCGGCTTCTGCACCCTCCCCTCACCATACTTGGTAGAAGAGTTAGGACTGGGTGTTTACAGAGATCCTCCCCCCCAGCTACGTGAATAATACACTGTCAACACCAGAATTGAAATTCTGCTTCAGAAGTGCTTTGTTCTTAATTTATTAAAGTGGAAAGACAGAGTTCTTCCACCCACTGGTTTACTCCTAAAAAGGCTGTAGTAGCCACACTGGGCCAGCCTGAAGTCGGAGCCAGGAACTTCACTGGTTCTCCCAGATGGGCCACAGGGACTCCAGCACTTTGGCCATTTTCTGCTACCTTCCCTGCACGTTCTCAGGAAGCAAAGTCAGAAGCGGAGCAGGGGAGCCTTGAAAAAGCACCTGATATGGGGTGCCAGCATCACTGGCTCCCAAAAGTAATCTTTTGAAATTGAGATTTGTACTTAGAAGTCAGTAAGAACCTGCGTCTCCAAAAGGCAGTTCATATCTTAATGGACATGCCGGTTTCCTCAGAGCAGAGAGGAGACACGTACTAGCTCCTAACACATTTTAAATTGAAATAAGAGGCACCAGTAATTAGCAAGGCGGCCTTGGCTGATGAGGGAGAGTGAATCTCAGAAGTGACACAGATTGTCATTCCATCATGGAAATGACAGGAGAAAGCGCAATGGTACCGGTTCCAGATGTGGTGTGGAAAATAAGTCTGAAAACAAATCAATGGTCAGAAACTCTCAGTCTATGTAGAATTGTCGAATTCAGGAGAGATGGGAAAAGCATCATTGGGCTGAGCTTATTCCCGAGTCCAAGCAGACCGGCCCTGCTGCAGCGCTGGGCCTCACGGTGCTAGAAAGGTGACGGATTCGTAACGGACTGGAAAAGAATCCTAGCGCACCCCACCTCTTCCCCTTCTCAAAGGTCAGCGGGAAATGCAGTGTCCTCACCGTGCCTGACAAAGCCACCAGAATCCGGTGGGGCATAGCAGCGCCAGAGCGGTGACACATGCCACACTGCACCCTGTCTTGCCCGGTGTCAGAGGAGGCTTGAGGAGCTGGAACTCAGCTTGGAGGTTGAAAGCCCAGACAGTCTAGATCATGGGTGAGAGTTAAGAAGTAAGGCTGGCCGATTGCCAAGGCCCTGCTCTTCTTTGGCAAGAAGAATCAGCATGAGGAACTTCACACCTAAAGGATCCCTTAGGGCGTAAACAGCAGGCCAGCCCTTTAAATAATTCATGAAAGACTGAATTGAAAGGTAACATTTTTGAAATGCATGCATAGTTGTATTTTTTTCCTATAATACACATCTTCCATAAATGTTTAGAAGCCCTCACCCCGACCCCGTAAAATGGGTTTCTCGGTGGATACTGAGCAGGGAATCCCAGCCAAGGCACCAGGGCACGCGTTCCGGAGCAGCAGGACCAGGGACACGTAGCTCAAGG